TGGATCACTGTAGCCAGGTCACAGCGGTCAAGGAAAGGAACCAACTGCCGAACCAGCCGACGATGATAGAAGGCCGATTTTGCAGTGGCTGCTACCTGGGCCTCCATCATCAGGGAGGGATCCAGGAGCACCCCCAAACTCCTAACCCTAGACGCTGGCGCCAAAGGCGCCCCATCGAAGGCTGGGAATGGGACCCCCAACCCCGAGCCGCCACGACTCAGGCACAGGACCTCCATCTTCGCCGGATTCAGTTTCAACTGGCTCAGCCGAAGCCAACCAGCCACAGAGCCTTGCAGTGAGGACACACCAACTCAGAGCTTACCAGCTGCTTTCCTTTATAAAGTTTGTATCTCTGGTACCTGGCATTATACTTTATGGCACACTAGCCTGGCTGAACAAAGTGACATTTGTGTCAGATCCAACCTTTGTAACAAATGAGTTCAACACCCCTGAACTAAATGGTTTCTTACTTTCATAATGGGTTGTATGAAAAACTGTGCTCCTCAGAAGGTAACAGGAGAAGTTCCTAGAGGCAAAGAAAAAAGCTGGAGGCCTGGGGAAATAAAATTGTTATTTTTCTCTGCTCAGCCCATGGAAAATGCCTGCTCACATCAGGCCACTGATGATGCAAAAATGCCTCATTACAGGCAACAAAATCATCTCAACCTGCCAAACTCACAAAGTGGAACAGAGAATGAGAGGACATATGGGTGGCTAACAGCAGAGAGCAGGAAGCACATAAAAGCCTGTGGGCATGCATGACTTTAACCTATTGAGTTATTTTGTTGCAGCCTCAAAATGCACAGAGAACAGCTAACAGCAATAAACCACAGTGGATCATTTCAGAGTCTCCAAAGGATGGAAAAAATACGGGAGAAAGGCAGAGCTGAGAGTCAGAAAACTGGGAAGGACACTGCTAAGCCAGTGGCTAGGAACCTGTGCTACATCTGCAGGACTTTGCTTTGGTCCAGCTGGCCGGCTCCTAAGTGAGAAAAGCATCAGTGACTGCATAGCACAAACTTTGTTGCTCCCTTCCCCCCACTTCTCACATCCAAGACAGGCTTTATGCTGGCATGAAGCACAGCAGCAAAAAGCAGGGAGGGATTCATCTGGCCAGGCCATAGTCCCTCCTGACCAGCTACTAGAGGGAAATGGAATAGGAAAAAGGCTGGCATGGAGCTAGAAAGTAGGAGGGCAGCGGGCCACTGTGGGGTCACTAAGGAAAGGACCCTAAGCATTTCCCTCCCACATTTGCTAGCCCCTCATGTCACACATGGTGTTTATCTGCACGCTGCCCCCACCTTCTGACCCTCTTCTTTTTAAATTGTAAGGCCACCACAGTGAAGATGCTTGAAACAGCTCCTGCTTGGCAGTTTATTTTATCTATTTATTTATCTTTCTAACTTGCCCTCTCCTACAAGCGGGCTCAGGGCAGTTCACAACAAAATTCAACAGAATAAAATAAGTTTAAAACAGTTGGGCAATAATCCAATTTAAAACCCCAATAGCATAACCACAAGATGACAAAAAGTATTACAGAAGGTGTCCAAAGAACGCTATGTGTATGCCCAGATGGAACAGTTGATTGGGGTAACATGACCAGCCAACTTATTACATGGGCCATCACTATCCCAGAGTAAGTTTTCACCCCACTGCCAGCAACACCAGCTGTGGTAGAGACTTTCCAAGGAATGGTGGCAATCCATTTGATAAGATGCTCTCTATATTGCAATTGTTGTGCTTTTGACATGACAAAGTAAATGTGTTATTCCTTCAGATGCCATAGGATTATTTGTCATTTTGGCTGCAGCAGACTAATACTGCTGCCCTTCTGCAATTACCATGCAGAGAAGCGGCGAAACAGAGGCTGTTCTCAGCAGCTTCTCTTTAGGAACCTTAACATGTAAGTTGGCCTTTTACCCCGCATTTCTCCCTTGCATCCTTCTTGCACCTCCTGCCTGTTGTTGGCAGAAACAAGAGAGAAGAAATCTGAGGATCCACAAAAGGACTGAAGACCACAAAAACTTTAAGCTGGGCCTGGAGCAAAGAACAGATGAGGCTGTAGTTTTTGGTACTAGCTGGGAACTGGGATGGGAGGAACTAAGTTCACATCTCAGTCCCACTTCAAGTGTCCCAACAAACCTTGAGCTTGGGAGCGCTGAACAAGCACAGGGTCTAAGATGATCTGAACTAGTGGGAGAGCGGCAAACACAAGTTGATTATTAATTTAAGGAGAATCAGGGCAGCCCTGGTTTGCCCCTGTGATGAGGCCCATCAAGTGGGCTACCCTCAGCTATGTGTGCTCACTGCTTGGCACAGGAAGCACAAGTCTCTGTGATCCAGATTTGGCATTTCCACCAGGACAGCCCCCCTTCTCTAATTACATCTTTAGATTGTCTTTCCCTTGCCACTTCCTGTTCCCAATTGCAGCTGTGAAATATGCTAATCCGCTGCTTACACCACGAAACAAGAGAGCTAATAATAACCTGTGAGTTTTCAAAGCACAAAAAGGGTGGTTGTCGGGCGTCTCACCCTTCCTAGTGCAGCTGTCTTCCCATGCTGGTTGACTCTCTGTGCTGCATTACAACTGGCTGGACCTAGTCTGCTTCCTTTACATTCTCAGTGTGGTCTCCACTCCCAGGAAACCTTGAGTACTCTTCCTAAAATGCAAGTGTCTGTTATTCCTTCTCTCAAGACATACATAACGACAGACCATGTCTTTCCTTTGAACCAACTATTACTGAAGAATTCTAAATGCATACACAGATGTGCCTGAAGCAGGCCTTGTGTGACATTTCACCAACTGCTGCCATTTACTGGAGAATTCTGCATATCTAAAAAACTTTTATACAGACATTTCAACAATACTACTTAGTTCCAAGCTGGAAAAATATGTTCTCACATCCAGTCTATGCTTCTTAGTCCAACATGATTATTGCCATTTTAAAGCATCTGCCATCAAATACCTGATTGTGAGAGGCTGAAAGACCCAACATTTTATATTTAAAGTAAGTGAGATCAAAAGAGAAAACTGAGACTCAAGAAACTTGGTGGATCTGTGTAATTTATTAGTTGAATTTTAGATCACTTTGCGGTTTCTTGTACTCCTTATCACATTTAAAATTTCCTGCTGGGAGGTTCACTGTTGCATGTTCATAACGCTGACCGCGTCAGCATGCAAACAAGCACTGCTCACATCTTCAGTTATGTCACATCACAGGAATGATTCGTGAACTTGCGCAACAGCACAAAGTATACTCTAAAGTTGCCATCACTCCTGCAAAGGTCACGTTTTGAACCCAATCACATGCATGTGTTTATACACAATAGACAGACTCCTCCGAGAGACAATAGTCACAATGTTTGCTTCATTTGATTTCCAGTTGCATTTTTGGAATATTTTAGGGTGAAGCAAGGAATGTGCCCTTCATCAAACCAGGACAGTTTGTAGTATGTCCTATGCTGGGTAGCCAATGCCAATTTAAATTGCCAAATGAGAGTAAACAATTACTGCAATGTCCTTCTACCATAAGATACTCCAGGACTAGGAAACACAGCTTTACTTTAAAAATGTACCTGCCATGAAGTGTCCCCCAGCCACCACTAATATATGCGTCTTCCTCACAGCAACATCTAGAATCTATCACGATCCCTTATGGAGATTTCCTGTGCTGCAGGGAGTACAACAGTGCCATTATAGTCCTAGGAGGACAGACCCTGGATGGAATAAGTGTTGCCGATAACCGTTAATCAAGGGGTCAGCCGGAAGCTGGAAATCTTTCAACAGAAGCATCCTTCCCAGAAGAAATAATGTCCCTTGATATTTTGTAGATTGTAACCCAGGACACTCAAATTCTGTCAGCCTGGTCAGCAAGGAAGAACGAATGTGTCATATACATTGTGACTGCCCTACTAGCAACTAGACTCTGCAGTCAATTGGCAAAACCTGCCTCCAACTCTTCCTTCATTTTCACTCCCTACTAATCTGGTATTATCTTTCTGTTGGCATCATAAATTATTTAAAGCATCAGGGACACCAGATTAAAGCTCAGAGGCATCACTCAGGTAGAAGAAAGGAATCTTACAGCCTTTTATGTTTCCTTGTACTATTCAACTCTTCACCTGTCTCGTTGGTTTTGGAATTTGTGCAGTCCAGTCTTTGTGCTGGATAGGAAGAGAATGTGAAAAGGCAAAGTGTGCTAATAACAATTCTAGGCCAGGAACATTGCTGTATCCTGCATGCAACCCTTCACAATGTTCAGGAGGTTGCAGCCTTGCCAATTCCACTGATCATCTCAAAGAGATGTCACAATCCCAAAGCGCTGTTTGCAACTATGTCTGTGGACAAATCCATACGCCCACTGGATTTATGGCAGCCACTTTTATACTTCCCCCTATAGCTACTCCCTTGCTTAAAGGCACAATGAATGCACAACTTGTTCACTACAAGCAGAATCTGCCAAGTTTGCCTTCTCATATGAACATTCCACGGCATGTATATTTGGCAGCCTCTGTTCAAGGCAGTAAGTCCCAAAACTGCCAGGAACTGAAGAAAAAAACCTGCCATCATGACTCAGTAAGAACATCCCTTGTTCCTTTGCTACTGTTCTTGGAGGCTCATGAGGGGGTTCAGAGACACCCCCTGCAATAAATTAAATTATTTGACCTGACACATAATTTAGGCATCCCACAGGTTAATAAAATATTTGATTTTCCTCACTTTTAACAGCATATACTTCCTCTCTATCAAATCTCCTTTATAACGAAAAATGTATATACCCTCTACTGCTGAGTCATATAATTTTATGCAGAATATTGGTCCTGGGCAACCGATTTATACACTTAAGTCTCACCATGCAAGCTTAACACTTTGGATTTGAACTCTTTATTGACTAGCCCAGCCACTCAAAACCAAGGACAGTTTCAGTAGCAGAACAAGGTTTGACTGGTTGGTTTTACCGAAAATTTTGTTTTCCCATCAAGGCAATACATCTCCTTACCTTCCACTGGTGAGGTCTTCAATCTCTTGCAAATATTATGCACTCCCCCATAGGTGTCATTTATCCTGTTGACTGCCTCTGAGCTGCGAAGTTCCATGAGGTTCCGCAGGTCCATTACGGAGCAACCAAAGTCCCCCTCATGATTGCCCTCAGCAACTGAGTTCCCAGGATGATGGTCTGCAGAGTTGTTCGTCATCTTGACAAAAACCAAAAACAAAACCCAACCCTGGCAGGTTCAACAAGAAACAGCAGAAGACAGGATGTGTGCCACTTCTTTACCAGTCTTGCCTCTTACCTCTATAAAATCACAGCAGGCAATACAAACTTTGATGTTCCTTGCAGAAAGGAGCCCAGTTCTACAGCTTGTAGGCCAGTACCTCTGGAGGGGAAAAAAGATGATCCCAGGAGAAATAGCAGGACTGGGGTGGGGCGGGGAAACAACAATTCTTCTACAGCTCCCCAGGTGAAGCCAGTGAAACTAGCCAAGTCCAACTTCTTCAGATGAAGGTGTAAACAGGATACACATGTTACCGTGGAAGCAACCTTAGCAACAACCAGTGTGCATCTCCCAGAGAAAGAGGTGGGTTCCCTGGATACTGTCTTCAACCGAAACTGCAAGACAATGATTTGAAACAAAAATTATTGTTAATAAGGGGCCCAGGAGACTGGCTAATAGACAAATGGGTACAGTAGGGATGTAGCATGTAATACAAGTATCTGTTCCGGGAATAAAGGTGTTGAGGAATCAATAATGTCTAAGGAGACGCTGCTGAGGAACTTTATATTTCTAAATCCACCTCTTCAGTTATCTTTATGAAGGAGTTGCATCAGAGGCACAAATCTTACTCAACATGGTAAGCATCTCTTCTCCCTCTGGCAAGTGTGAGAAGCCTTTTTTCCTTTAACTGGTGCAAGGAATAGGGGTGGAGTGATCACTCATGTGGTCATGCTGCACTTCAGAGGTATTCTGGGCACTTTCAAAGCACAGCATGACAGGAACAAGCTCCTGCCAACCTCCTGGGCTTAAAGCGTGTGTGCACACAGGGGAAAGTCTGTTCCTGATCTTGCACTGCATTCAGTGCTCAAAACATCTTATATTTATATAAGCATTTTTACATACACACATATTCTATTTTCCTCCCCAATTAGTACTTAAAATTGCTTATATAATTCTACTCTCAGTGAAAATCCCCCCCACCCCTGCATGCATGAAAATTTTAGACAGGATCCAACCCAGGAGTGCCTGTCTGGAAACCAGCTTGTCAGCCACTGGAACACAGCAGCTCAAATGATACATGACAATAGTGCACTCACATAGTCACAATGGGGCCTGCTTCAATCACTTATAAAGTAGGGTAGAGGGAACTAAATCTTTGCTTAAAAGGAATGTGCAGATAAGGGTAACTAAGCCTTCCTGGTGCTTCTTTATTTAGCAGGGTTGTATACGGTCTTTCTGTTTGAAAACCACCTAAGGTGGTTACATTGTAAACCTAAGGTGGTTTGCAAATAATAAGCACAAAATACAGTTTAAAACTACAGCAGCAAAAACAATGGCACCTAAACATCCAAGGGTAAGAGACAGACTGTTTCATTATGTCATTTTCAGTGAGGTTTCCCTTCCTCCAGGTACCCTCATATCCAGTTATGCGCTCTTCTGATAACAGAGCCTAGCTGGGTGGGTGGATGTGAAATGAACTTATAAGAGAAGTCATGGAAGTACACCACAGATCACAGGGAGGAAAGCTTTGGTGCGCCACAACCATATATCCTTTTGCTCTAAAATTTCAGCACTCTATATGATTGGAGCAGAACTAGATTTAAACTAACAGGTCTACTGCTATTGTTTATACTTACGGCCAAGGGTACTTGCTTTGCTTTCTGACTGAGGCAGCTTTCACAAGCCAACAGAGCCATAGTTGCTGCTGGAAATGCAAAGGCATTTACAGTAGCAATGGAGCTGTCACATCTCAGGTTTCACTGCACATTCCCTGATTCACACCCTCCTCCACTGTCACTATCCCCTCCAAACACCACCAGAGGACATAACAGTATGTCAATTACCTATCAAGAAAAACACAATCCCCAAAAGCCTGTTCCGGGGGCAGGACCAGAAAGATCTGCACTTTGTCCACAGGGCATTCACCTTGGCTTTACTGCAGTCTTTCCAAAAACATTTTAGTAAAACAGATTCACAGAAGACCACAGCAAAGCTAGGGAGAAGCTGGAAGTTGCATTAGTGTCCCACAATGCTGTGTGGAAGGAGTAAAAAAAAAATCATAGTTCATATTCACAGCCAAACCAGACTAGATCACTGGCATGGAAGCAAACCAAGCATAATATGTATCTCCCAATGGATAGCAACTTTCTTCTTCTCAATCTCCTACAGCATTTTATCTGTCTTGCCAAGTCAAGGTTAACAAACTAACTTTTTCGACTCACATGCCTCAAAGCTCATCCCTCGCCCTTCCAATTATTTTTGCTTGTCTTCAAGTGTAATGGACTATTTATTTTCATCTTGAATTCTTACCATGAATCTAGCATTGAATTTCTTATGCTCAAATTCACACCAGTCTAGCAATGACTGCGCATCATAGCCATGATGCTCACTATTGGGCTGGATAAAAAGTTCATGACTTGTTGTCTTTTACACATTATTTCGCACAAACACCCTGTTTCCCCAGTACTGGGGTATATGTGTCTGATGATAACATTTGGAGGGTGGTCTGATAATAACATTTGGAGGAGGAGTTAGTTCACAGGAACAGATCTGTTCTTGATAAACAAGCAACATAATGAGTCTAACTAAGAAGTCATTAACCACACTTGAATAGAGTACCAAAATAACTACTTCTACTGCGATTTAAGCTAAAGAAATTATACTGTTATCTAGCAGAAGCCAGAGACTGTCATTCATTGTGTTGCACTAGACATAGGAACATAATATGAGCTAATAAGCAGCTTCCACCACATACCAAAGTACCCAGCACTGGCAAATGACAATCTGCCTCAAGGAAATCGCCAGTTGCAGAAGGATAGAAAAGGGAACACGGCAACAGATGGATGATGGAGGAACTGAGGGGGGTAAGGAAGTGTTCAAAGGACAAACTGTTATGCTCCCTAGTCACATCCTCTCAGCCCCAACAAAACAGGGCAAGTTGTACTGCTATCCTTCACCCAGAATCCCCTGCACAGAGAAGACTCAGTGAGAATAAACTCCTGAGCCAACAAGACAGAGAGCTCTGACAGTGCCATTCACCTCCTAGGCCAAGGGGAAATGATTTATCCACAATAAACTCCACCTGGTACCTTTTGATTCCATGAAACTAACTGTATGTCATATGCATTTACATCTAACTGAACCTCAGCCACTGCCTGTTTTGAAATGAAAAACAATATTGGCAGAGAGAATACAGACAAGGTTGTGGTGTGTGTGCATGTGCGTAACACTTCCCGAAACAAACTTTCCCCAGATTCCCCCCTCCCCAAGCAGCTTTTCTTCCACAAGAGTACAAAATAAAGTTCCAAGTGTTTGTGCACAACACGGCTAGCCCCTTCAATTCAGGTACAATTTAAAGGTGATGCAGGGCAAGCTAAAAAAGACTGGCCCAGGCAGCACCCCACAGGCCTGGTAAACTGGGCCCTCCGTTACCATGCATATTAAATAATAAACTTGTCTTCATAAGTTATACCTGCTTCAGCCAAGGGTTTCCAAGGTGGCTTCCATATAAAATTAACAATTAAAACATCTCAGCAAATAGTCAACAAAACAGAAAACAATAAAATCAATCCAAAGACATATATGACTAAAGCCAGGATACAGAAGGGAAGAGCACATGCACAGAGAGAGAGAGAGAGAGAGAGAGACACCACACATACACAACCAAAACCAATCAAGATGAATCAAACTAGCCACCTAAAATTTTAAAGAACAGGCATCCAACAGGCTGCTGTGAGGAGGAGTTCCACAACCAAGGTACCACTGTGGAACGGCCCTCTTTGCCACCCACCTGGAAAGAAAGGGATCTAAGAGGCTGGCTCATATAAAGTTTTACCATGCCAACATGGAGACTACAAGAACTCGAAATTTTTGGTGTGCTTATAACACTACATGTTTAAAGTATTTTAGCTCACCTGGCATCATGCCTAAATTGAGCCTCAACTACTGCTAAGAGACTAAACAGGATTCTAGGTAAAGAGACAGGCTACAAGCTCTTCCCAAAGTAGATAGAAGGTCTGGTAATTGAAGATAGGAAATCAGCAAATCTTATGGCAGCAGACCCTAAAGGTGGTTAGGATAAATGTGCTGCCTTTCCTGCCTTTTGAGCACTATAAATTCAGCTGATGCAACTACCCTATCATAAAAATGCTGCAACGGGAAAGCATTACCTGTTGAATTTCTGGCTCTTGTACAACTGACAAAGGCACAGGAATAAAGGAGGAAAACCCAGTTGGTGATGTAGCCAAAAAGCGTAGTTTCAAATAGTGTAGTTTCTGCTAACAGCTACTTAGGACTGGTATAATGCTTTCAGTATTCAAAGTATTTCACATATATTATGAAAGCAATCCTTACAACATCTTGTAAGGCAGGCAAGTATTATGCGTATCGTCAACTAATCTCAATCAAAATTGCAATTCTTGGAGCCACCGGTGCTCTTTCATTACACTACAAGAGTCTTCCAAACTACAGGCCCTTGACAACTGCAGTGGAAAATGCTGCTACATCACAGACAACATATGGCAACCAGACAAGGTTTCCAAGACAAGAGATGAACAGAAATGGTTTACCATTGCCTGCTTCTGCATAGCAACCTTGTGCTCCCTCAGTGGTCTCTCATCCAAGTACTAACCAGGGCTGACCCTGCTTAGCTTCTGAGAGCTGACAAGATCCAACTAGCCCGGGCTATCCAGGTCACAATGGTTCACAACTATGTAACCTTGGAAAAAACTGTGTGTGGGGTGTGTGTGTGTGAATGTGTATAAGAGAGAGGGGTGAGTAATACGGTGGGGGGAAATGTAGAACTCCAAAAACAGATAGTTGATTAACACAGGTTCCAATCTCACTCAGAGGAATAGATTTGGGATCACTGCCTACAAAACCTGGCACAGCTACCAAGAAGCCCAGGTAGCAGCTACTCATCTATGTTTAAAGGCATTAAAGCTTTCCGTGGTAGGAGGCTAAGAAGGCAGATCCAATTAAACAAACCCCTGCTGATTAATAGCATGTTGGGGAGGGGCAGTGGGAGATTATTTTTTTTGCTATTTTCCCTTCTTTAATAGCAAATAACATCTTCTGAAAAGAGCTTAGAGGTTAAGAAAAAAGGCAGCTAATTAATATTGTTATGGTGGAGTCCATAATTACCCCTGGAGGAGCCTGCAGGGCACCTATCATTATCTTCCTTTTCCAAACAGCGAGATTCCTTTCCTTCTCAGAACTAGAACGCCAGGGATTCCTTGCCACAGGTTGGGAGAAGGGAGATAAAAACAAATTCTTGCGGGGGGGGAAGGGAAAGGTCTCTGTTCCCATTTGTTTTCAAGGACCTTCCACAAGACAGGCTAACAAACAGAAAGAGGGTTCCAGGGAAGTGTCCTTAATCAGGCTTAGGCCCACTGTT